AACCCCACATCTTCTTTATCCAGCCTCCAGCTGATGGGAAATTGGGCTGCTTGGAAGTTTTAGCTATCATGAATTGTGCTGCTATGAACATGGGTGCACATGTATCACATGGTATGATGCTTTTAATTCTTTAGGGAAGATACTCACCAGGGGAATAGCTGGGTCAAATGGGACTTCCAGTCCTAGTTCTTTGAGGTGTCTCCGTACTGATTTCCACAGTAGTTGCACCAGTGTACACTCCCACCAGCAGTGGAGCAGTGTTCCTCTTTCCCCACGGTCCCACCAGCATTTGGAACAAGAAGAGACCCAGAATAGCAAAAGAAATTCTAGGCAACAGAGACATGGCAGGGAGTATCACTACCCCCAACATGAAACTATACTGCAAAGCTGCTGTGATAAAACAGCATGGTACTGGCAAAGAAACAGACCCGAGGACCAGTGGAACAGATTAGAAGATGCAGAAACAACTCCAGACACACTCAGCCACCTCGTCTTTGACAAAGTATCCAAACACCCTCATGGAGGAAAGATAGCCTCTTTAAAAAATGATGCTGGAAAAATTAGATTTCAACTTCTCAGAGATTAACACTAGACCTATATCTTTCAACATGCACTAAACTAAAATGAAAATGGATGAAAGATCTAAATATTAAAACAAAAACACCGAACCGGCTGGAACAGAGGTTATGTAGAACTGTTGATGACATTGGTATAGGAAAAGATTTTATGAACACATCCTCAGTTGCCTGTGAACTAGCACAAACAATCAGCAAGTGGGATCTCTTCTTATGGAAGAGTTTCTGCACAGCAAGAGAAACCACCAACAGTGTGAAGAGACAACCCACAATGTGGGAAAAATTTTTCACCTGCTGTTCCTCAGACAAAGGCCTACTATCTAGAATCTATAAAGAACTTTAAAGAATCAGACCTCCCAAATTTAAAGACCCAATCCAAAAATGGCCATCTGAAATGAGCAGACATTTCTCAAAGAAGCAGAAATAGTAAATAAATATATGAAAAAATGTTCAACATCACTGGTTATTCAAGAGATGCAAATGAAAACAACTCTGAGATTCCACTTCACCCCATGAAGAATGGCTGCTATCATGAAATCAACCAATAAGATTCAGTTTATTTATTCTTTTTGTTTCTTGTGTTGTTATTGTACTATTCTTCTTTTTCTTTAACACATTCAGGTTTTTAAAATATATTTATAATAGCAGATTTGAAGGTTTTTCTGCTTAATTTATACATCTAGACCCCATTAAAGAGGCCGTACTGTTATCTGTTTTTTTAAATTTTGTGTATGCAAAAATATGTAACAAACTCCATTTTTGAAGGGGACAAAATATTCAATTTGCATATCTCCCAAACTGAATTTCATGTCCCCTTCAAAATGGAGAAATGGAGTTTTTGTTTCCCTGTGGAATTCTTTATTGCCTAGACCTTGCTATGTAAGCAACATCTGTCTTCCTCATAATCTTTTCTTTGATGCACATCTCAGAGTCTACAGACTTGGTCATATGCACAGTCAGTTCAGGGTAACAGTCATGTTATCAGGGATATTTTGATTGTCTCTTACCCTAATCAGTTTATTAAGTTATGTGTCTTTATTAGTATCACAACTAGTAGATAGAATGAACTAATAGTCACTTCCATGCTGAACTAGAAAAATTGTCCTTGGCATAATTTGTTCCTTAATCTTATTTGATAAAACTTTGACTACTTTTTCATAGTAGACTTTGAGCTTTTTTTCTAACCCCACAGTAATTCTTCTTAGCTCTTTTTTTCTCTGGTCTTTTTGACCTGTTTTAACTTGTTCTCATAGAGCTACATCTTTGCCTTAGTTGATTACGATCAATGAGCAATTTTGTTTTGTTTTGCTTTGCTTATGCTGCACTGGTGATTGAACCAAGGGACTTTGCACTGAACTACAACCATCGTCTTCTTTTTCTTTTATTTTGAGATAGAGTCTTACTTGTCACTAAGTTGCCCAGGGTGGGCTTGAATTTGTGACTTTCCTGACTTAACTTCCTGTAGTGCTGCAGGTACAGGCTTTGAAATAACACTTTTATTTGATTGATTGATTGATTGGTTGGTTGTCATACTGGGTATTGAAACCAGGGATTTGTACATCTTAGGCAAATGTGTTACCACTGAGCTACACACTGAAATCAAAATAGCATTTCTGAGAGTGTGCTTGGGTTTTCCTATCCATACTCTGTTTTGAATAGTCAGTTTCCTTGAGGAGACTGATCAAGCTCTCTTTCATTTATTCCTGCCTTTTCCCCTATAGCTAAAATATTTGCATCATTCCTTTGGAGCTAGGAACTAGAATAGTGCCCAGCTTGTCTCAGAGTGACATCTTTGGTTTGCTAGGATGAAAGCAATTGCCCTCGATCTTGGCTTATCATCCTTGCCATCCCACCTCTGCCTTATGAGTATTCTGCACGAGAGCATTTAGATCCTAGATCCTAGCATTGGCGGTCAGTTCCCGATGTAGATTTCATATCCTATGTAGTTCTCTGCCTTTCATTTTTATACCTCAGCCTTTTTCTGCACCTATTGTTCTCCAGGTCGGAATTATGTAGTTCAATCCCATAAAAGAATAAATCTTTAGGGTTTTATTTTTATTTTACAGTGCTTAGTAGAGGGAATCTAGGAGATCTAGCTTTTCCTCTCAACTATTTTACATTTTACCTTTATACTCTAATCTACTCACATTTATTCTATTCTTAAACTATTAAGCATTTTCTATTTCTAAGTCATTCCAGGATTTTGATTTTATATAAATTTGCTTCTTGGTTCTCCTTCTAGTGCTTCTGACATATGCTATATAACTTTGAGTGCCATGCACATCGTGTTTTATTTTAATAGTGTCTTTTGGATATAGTGCACAATCTGTGTTGGTAGAATGCAGCAACATTTATCATCATCTGTCTCATTATCATCTTCCACCTCCAGCTTAGAGTTTACTTCCTACTACTTCACAGAGCTAAGTATGTAAGTCAGTCAGAATCACATTGACTTACTGCCTTTTTACTTCTTTAATTTTGTTTTCTTATCTTCTCTCGTTCTTTCCCTGTTCTCTTTATCATCACATGTTTTGCTTCTGTTGTTTCTTATTACCGCTTTATTGGTGTTTTGGTAATTGCATAGGTGATTAGGTGTATCCAACATTTAAAATAGAGTTACTGAGCACCTTTCAAGAAAGTATGTGCAGCACTATGTTAGACCTTAATTTTTCTTGTTATTCACTTTCAGTGTGTTAAGTATATAACCATATTCAAAATTTTGATTACTTTCTATGGTTAGGGTCTAATATGGGGCTTTGACAGAATAATGTGTGCCTTTTGTGGAGAGAAATTACTTTCATTTTCATGTTTGGGATAGATTTAGTTGCAAGCAACTCCAAGTTCCTAAAAATGAAAAACTAGAATGTTTGCCAGCAAACTTGCAATCCCTCTACCAAAATAGGTTCCTTTATTTACGTATCCCTTACTCTGACCCAATTGCTGCTGCTAACTCTTATCCTATTGTGTTTCTCTCACATAAGCTATGTAATACTTATATAATTTACATGTGTATAATTTGTTTTGACTATGTATTTATCTTCTTACTATTTTCCTTCTAGAAATGAAAATCTCTCTTATTGATATAAGCAATTTCTACTTCATAATTGTATTTTTCTCAAGCCCTTTTGATAAACTTGGTGACTTTTCCTTTTCTTTCCTCAAGCATCATTTTTCTCTGGTCATAACCATGTATATTAAACCTCATTAAGACCTGAGTCTTCTTTGGTATGGTTTAAGTGTAAAACACAAAGGTTCAGGTGCTGAAAGCTTGGTTTCCAGTGTGACCATGTGAAAACTGATAGAACCTTTAAAGTTGTTGTCTAACGGGAGGTCTTTGAGTTAGTGAGGACCTAGAAGGGAAAACTCGTGTCCTGGAGTAAATTCTCATGAAAGCAAGTTTTTGTAGTAGTTGGACCCTGACCCTTGAATCTCTCTCAGGTTTCCTGTTTTGAATTGTGACCCCTTGCTCCCAAATATTCTTGCTAATATCATCTACCATCAGGTCGTCCCTCACCAAAGCTGAGCTAGTGATGGTGTCATGTCCATCGTGACCATTAATGATGACATGTCAACCTGACTGGATTAAGTACTGCTTTGCAGATTAGTGAAGCACTTTTGGTTGTGTCTAGGGGTGTCATGGAGGTATGGCCTTGTATATTATATGGGATGTGACTTTAAAAATACAGTGACAGCTTAAATTTTAAAAAAATATGGCAGTAAAAAATATATTGCCATTAATTCCTTTCAGTATACTCCACCTCACTTTCCACACACATATACCATTCTTGGCAATGTATGTTTTGGTGTAATGTTATTTTAAATTTAAACATTCACCATATCTTTCAGTCATCTCTTCTATATGGTCCCTGTCCCTTCCTTTCTGGTGTTGTTCCCCTGATCTGTTTACAATCTACCATGAACTAAGCATCTTTTTTGTGCCACACACTTCTTCATGATATTTCTGGCTTGGAACCAGCTGACCATAGATTGACTGTTCTGAAACCATGAACCAAATAAACTAATTCCTCCTATAATCAGAGATTGTCAAGAATTTAATTCCAGCACAGGAAAACTAACACACTTTTGTACCTGCAAAACTGTGAGGTAAATAAACTTCTTTCCTTTATAAAGTTACCCTACCTCAAGTATTTTGCTACAGTAACAGGAAATGGACTAGCATTTATCTTCACTGCAGAGTCAAAGACAAAGCACTAGTACAGCATGCATCATGATCCCAACACCCTTGCACTGATAGTTCAACATACCCATTTTCTCAGTTTTTCCTTTTTTTTTGCTTTAAAATAGTTACAACTTGGCACTTATATAATTCTACAAATTCTAGAACATGTTTGTATTCAATATATCTCATATTCATAAAAAAAGTCAAGATATTTGTTAGATCACAATTTAATATTCAATAGGGGAGCAGGGAGCAGTGGAAAAGGATCAGTGAAGGAACTAAGGATGAAAATAGGCTTGTACCCCTCTGTCACCTCCACCACACTGCTCCCTTGTAGACACCAGAGCCCACACCAAGTGCAGAGCAGACAGAGGCCATTTCTCTTAGGAGGAAACATCCATGTATTGGGGTACAGTAAATATCTTGGATGCATAACGAGAAAAATCATTTTCCTCTACATAGATAATTTTTTTTCCTGGACATGTGTTTTCCTACTAAAGACTGGAGAGAAATTTCTCTGTTGTCCAGTCAAGACACCTCTCCGAAGACCATGCCTTGGACAGTAATATTGTTGGCCTGGTGCCCTGGACACTGTTGGGCCATACTGGGAGGGGCTGACTGGGGACACAGCCTTGATGGGGAAGGACGGGTGGGCATCCCTCTGGCCCTGCTGCTCACTGTTGAGCTGTCCAGTTTTCAAGGACTCTTGGCCACGGAGGTGCCTCTGCCTGGTAGGACAGCTGTGGCACTTGCGGGTGGCTGCATGTCCTGGCTTTCTCCTGTGCTCTGAGGAGCAGGAAACCTGGGAGACTGGGGTGTGACCTCCTTCCTCTTTGTGCTGATTGAACTTCAAGGCACAAAGTTCATGCTGAAGCATCATTTTGGCTTCTGGCATCTGCCCAAGTGTTATCTTGAGCCATTGAGCCTCATCAGTGTTGTGGTCCACACGAGGTCTGTTTTTGGCTGGTCTCTGACTCTGGGTCCTGGCGGGTGCAGGCTTCCCATTTTTCTGGTTGTCTTCCTGCCCTTTGATCTCTTTCTTAGGTAAAACCTGCTGTAGAAATTTCTTCATGCTTTTTTGGAAGTAGTCTTCTGAGGGGACTGGTTTCTTTTGTGGGAGCTGAAGGTGTTTACTCTCTAAGGTGTCTTCTATTCCCCCATCCTGGGTGGGCTCAGAGGTCCCCAAGTCTCCCAACCTGTCTTCATGTTTTCCTGAGCTGGAGCTCCTACCAACCTCATGCTTGTCAGCAGGGACTGATGTCTTGCTTTGGCTCTTTGGTGAGTGCTGATGTTTCAGGATCCAGGGCTTCTGCTGCCCTGGGTTGCTCCCTGTGTCTGCCATTAGGTCACCTGACAGCTGTGAAGTTAGCATGTCCCCTAGAGGCATGTTGTGTTGATGGCACTGGGACACCACAGACGCCAAAGAGGGTGAAGAACAGAGAGAGTCAGTGGGAGAGTCTGGAAGGTGGACATCTGCGACACAGACTTGAGAGTGGCTCAATGACTTGACCTCCACTCCGTGCTGAAAGTTGCTCCTAGTGTCTGCCCAAAGGCCTGGCTCTCCTGCCTCTTGGGCAGCACATATTCCAGGAAGCAAGGGCATTTCTGGGCTGCCTCTGCCAACCCTTTGGGTGGTCCTGCTCTCACAGGTTCTGCCCATGAGGCTGGATGTGAGTTGCTGTGAAGGCCCCGCACTGTCCTGTCTAGTGAGGGGGGCCTCTGAGGACCCCTGGCCATCACCAAGAGGGATCGCTGTCAGGGCCCTCTCGGTCTCCTTACCTAAAAGAGAGGAGACAAGGGGACTGTCCAGTGCGCGGACAGACTGCCTGACTGTCGCCTCCTCTCCCGGACATCCCTGAGGTGGTTTTCCCAGGAACGTGGCATCATCCTCCACTGTCAAGTTGGCCCAGGACACACCGCCAGAGGAGGAGGGATGGGCACACTGTGGAAAGGGTGAAGGTGCAGCCTTTGTAGACTTAAAGATGTTTACAACCTTGAGGAGTTTGAGGGGGAGGCCCCACCTGTGCCTCACCCTACGCCTTGCATCCTGCATCTCCAGGTCCTGCAGAGTGTGTGGATTGGGGAAAAACTTCTGGACCGTGCTCACACAGGTTTCCCGACTCCTGGAGGATGCTGGATTTTTGGTTTCCTTGTGGGTATGAGGCTTGGAAAAGACACTGTTTACAGCGAGCCAGGACCGGCGCACTCTCAGAGGGAACAGCCCCTCACGGATCTGCCCCATCTTCACATCCAAATGTGGTTTCAGCTCGGCTTCTAGACGTGTCTTATCTCTGCTTCCGAATGAGTCATTTCTTGTGTCACTGTCCGTGGGCCACATCAGGTTTCTCTCTGATTCCTCAGAGGTTGCCCCCAGAACCTTCCCTGGGGAGCTTCCTAGGGGCCTGGAGAGATCTTTGGGGGCCTTGCCTAGAATATGCCCCAGATTCGTGCCTGAGACCTTCCTTAGCTGGGCCCTCATCTTCTGCACATCCTTGCTGCATTCACCTGTAGACACAGATGACTGTGAGAGCCTGGGTTTGTCCTTTACCTGAGGTGAATGAGCTAAGTCACACTGAGGCTGTGGGAGTTCTGGAGACTCCTGGATCCTGCCGGGCAGGTCCTGCTGGTGTTGAACATGACGTTTTCGAATGTGTTGCTCTAGTTTTTCCCAGTCCTCAGAGCTGATTGAAAAACTCTCACGAAGGGTGGCAGCGGCACCCTTGCCTTGGCAAAAGTTGGAAGTGGAGGGACAGTAACCCTCCTGAGGGCTTCCGACTGCTGAGGGAACAGTCCGCCCATCTTCTAGGTGTTTCTTCGACGAGGGCCTTCCTGGGTGTTGAATTTCAGCTGGGATGAGTGAGTGTGGGTTATGGGATGTAGAACAGGATGCTTCACAGCCCCTACTGAGGGGCGGAGAGGGTGCTAACAGGACGGGGGAGGAGGATTGGGGGTGGGTCTGAGTCTGGGCCTGACCCAGAGCTGGGGGCTGGGGTTGGGGTGGGCATCGGGGCTCCAGACAGGATGGGGCCTGGGCCAGGGGAAGCAGCGGGAACATTTGAGCCTGCATGTGAACTGGGCAAACAGGTGAGGGTCTGTTGAATAAGAAGGTGGGAAGGTATGGAATGGGAGGGTTCTGAGAGACCCAGGCAGCAGCCACTATGGATTCACTGTGCAGAGAGGGCAGACCCCAGAAAAGCTGGGCCCATTTCTGCTGAAAGCAGGCCCCCAGGATCTTGGGATATGAGAGCTGCTGAGGACCGAACTGCTGTTCTGGCTTCTCTCTTGTGTCCCACCAGGGTTGTGAGGTTGTGGCAGGATCTGGGGGACATGGTGGGGAAAGGGAAAGTGCAAGTGGCCGGGGTGCAAGTCTTCCCAGGGGAAGCGGGGGCTCCGGGGTCTGAGAGGCAGTGAGGGGTGTGGGTGAACACACAAAATCGGAGGAGGTTGCTGATGGGCCTGGTGATGGAGAGGGGGCCGGAGGTAGAAGGTGTGGAGTGAGAGGAGAGGGGGCCACCTCTACCAGGGACGGAGCAGCAGGGTCTGCTTCCTCCCCATCGGGCTGTGGGGCTGTGACAGGTACTCTGGTACCCGCATCAGCAGGGTGGTGTTGGTGTGCGGGCTGTTGAGAGCCTCCTTGGCCAGGGAGCAGCCTCGGCAATCTGCAATAAATAGGAGTTGTAACTGTAGCTGGGGGCTGGGGTGTGCTCAGTTGGGCCCTGGCCCCTCCACCGCCCCATACCCCGACTCTAGTTTTCCTGCTACTCCTCACCCCAGGGCCTTAACATGCCCCACTCCCAGGATCTCCCCTTCCCAGGTTACACCAATGCTGCTTTGTGACATCACAGGCCTTAGAAGGAAAGAAGAAAGGGGAAAGTTCTTTACCTTTTCAGAAGGGGAATTAGCTTCTTAGCCAACTTCCGGTGAATCTGGTAGTCTGCAAAAGGTGGGACGCGGGAAACTGGGTTATAAAGGATGAAGGGTAAGGAGGGGATTGGGATTTTACAGGAGGCTGAAGGGAATGTCCCCTCAGAGGACACCATTGGCGGTCTGACTCTAGAGACTAAGCACTGCTATCCAGTGCCCTCGGGCCCTGGCTGACAGTGGTTGCATAGAATACAGATGGGCAGCGCTTGGTCAGTACAAAGTGCTTCCTCATCCCTCAACATCCACAGCCCCCACAACTGTGCTGTGCTGGACCGATGGGCTCATCTCACAAAGGAATCAGCCTCTGCTAATTTTAACAGCTGGGCCTCAGTTGGACTTGGAGGTCCCATTTCCAAATCCAGGCTGTACTGCTCTTCTGCTGCCTGCACTGCCCCCTACTGGACAAAACCCTTCTTTGTCCCAGCACAGCTTCATTCTGAGCAAGAAGCCTGAGAAGCATCCCCCCTGCTGATTGACACTCCAGGAGCCCCTCTCTCAGGGCTCTGCAGCTGACAACCTTGGAGCCCTGGTGTTGGTCCCTGAGGGATAAGCGAGGTCGTGTTAATTCTGATACTGCAGGACTGAAAGGCAGAGCCTTACCTAGGAGAGCAGCTGTCCTCTTCCTTCTCCTGTTCCTACTCCTGCTCTTCCACCTCATCAGCACTGGATGCTGAGAAAGAAGGAGAATAATGAGAGGCCCAGGCTGGATTCTCCTCCCTCAGTCAAGCTGCAGACATTCAGTACTCACGAATATTAGGCTACTCAACAATGAATTAAGGAACCGGTGTTTTTTCTTTCCTTTTACTCATTTTTTAAATTTCAATATTTTTTCTGTCCCTCTTTTAGAAACACAGCAACTTTCTAACATGAGATCCCCTGTAAGAGGTCCTTGATCCTCTGCTCAAAAAACAAACTCACTTCTACAGGTGCATCTCACCTGCTAGAGACCAGAGGCAGCTGTAGCCTAGGATGGGGCTGGACTCAGGCCCTCAGCACTGCCCCTGATTCAGCCCAGCACAGAGCAAAGGCTGGGCCCTGAGACACCTGCCATGAGACTGGGACAATGAACCAGTGCTCAGGGCCTGGCCCTCCCCAAAGATCCCCAACTCTCAGGGATCCAGTCCTCACCCACTGAGTTACTGTGTTCTCCTTCACCCTGGCCAGCAAACCACCCAGAGATCTGAGATTGTCAGACAGATGTCCTGGTGCCCACTTCCCCTGCCCTGCCCTGCCTGTCCCAGAGGAAGGATATTGTGTTCTTTTCTGAATTTTCCTTCTCACCAGTCTGTCTACTTGACTTGGAAAAATTGAAACTGTGATAAAAGGAGAGAATCATTCTCTGCTGGCTCAGGACTGAGAGTTTCTTACCTTTTTGATGTTTCTATTTTTCCTAGATGGTTGTAAGGTTGGTTCACCCTGGAGCCAGGGCAGTAACAAAAGGAAGAGCCCCACTCCACCCGCAAAGGCAAGGATCATATCGGTCACAAAGGTAGTGGGGCTGGGGCTCAGCCATGTGGCGCTAAGGCTTTTCAGAGTAATGAGAAGATTCTCCATCATCTGGATCACAGTGTTGCCCTCAGGCAACTGAGCCCTGAGAGTTCTCACTGGGGTTAAAGAGGAGGGCCCAGGCCTGCATCACAGAGCTGTGTCCTCCTCATCACAAAGGGCTCCTGGGGTGGGGGAGGGGCGAGGAGAAGCGGCTCAGCCCCAGCCCCGCCCCTCCCCCAGCCTCCAGGACAGTGGGTGCTGCAGCCTCCTGGGCCTTCTGGACCCCTCCTTGTGCCTCCACCTGCCCAACCCGTCAGAGATAGACCATAGTCGATTTTCTATTTGTTCCTCCTGGAACACAGGTTATTACCTGGCTCTTTGATCCAGTTGAGATCCTGGCTGATGCTAACATGTCAATGATATTTTTATAAGTTCATAACATTTGTAATTCTTAAACTGCACAAAGTGGTCTTAAGAATCACCATATCCATACATACAGAGATAGATACGTATAATCCCTACATCCTTTCACAAACCAATCTAATATTTTTAACAAAACAATGTGATATTCAGTTCCATCATTTTCTCATTTGTATCAGGAAAAGGCCAAACAAAACTACAATGAGATACTCTCTCACCGTAGTTAAAATGGCTATAGTTATTTCTTTTAAAAAATGCTAACAAGGATGTGGAGAATAGGAAACTCTCATACAGCATTGATGGGAGTGTGAATTAGTGCGGGCATAGTGGAGAGCAGCATGGAGGTTCCTCATAAAACTAAAAATAGGTCTACTATGTGATCCAGGTATTCCACTTCTGGGAATATATCCAAAGGAGATACAGTCATCACATCAAAGGGACACCCGTGTGTGGATGTTTATCCAGCACTACCCATAATAGCTAAGATGTTAAATCAACCTAGGTGCTCATCAACTGATGAATGGAAAATGTGAGGAACACCTACACTATTCAGGTATAAAAAACAATGAGACCCTGTTGTTTGTACCAGGGATGGAGCTGGGAGTTATGTTACATGAAATAAGGCAGATGCAGAAAGACAAGTGCTACTTAGTTCTCTCTCGTGTGGATGTTTAAGAAAAGTGAACCTGAATGTAGGGGAGTGGTTGTTAGAGGTTGAAAAGGGCTACGTGGATGAAAAGAATGTAAGAATGTGGATGTGATCAGTGGGTGCTGTATATGTGCACTGAAATGCCACCCTGAACCCTGTTAATATGTACAATTAATATTTTTAATAAAAGGACTTTGATTCTTAAAAAAAATTAATATTTGGTAAGGTGAAAAACAACTAGTACATAATTATTTATGTAGTAATAGATGTTACATGTAGTCCTATAATTTCTTACTTAAAGTAGAGAGCACATTCCAGGATACCATGTATGACTTAGTTTATTGTTCTATCTAAAGAGAACTTAGAAATAAAAATTCTGATTTCCTTTATGGCAATAGAATATTTGTCATTTAACAAATTACTGAGGAAAAATTTTCTATCCCTTACATTTTCTAGAAGAGTTCGCATAGAACTGGTATTATTTTTTACTAAATATTTGGTAAAATCCTCAGTAATACCACTTGAGCCTAGTGTTTTCCTTGTATG